CCCGGGCATGATGTTTGTGGGTGGCCCAGGAAAGAGCACTGAACCAACCAGGAAGCAGAAGCCCTGGGCTCTGGCCCGCTTCCCCACTCCACAGCTAGGGCACTGGGCAAGTCATAGGGTCTCTGAGCACGTTTCTCCTCCTGAAAAACGGCAATGTGACACTTTCCTCCCTCCCTAGAAAGCTGGTTTCCACCTATAACTTCTTCTCCAGCGCATCTGGCACACCAACAGCAGAGATTTATTCCTGAAATACTTGTTTAGTCATGTCATTGCCCCCTCAAACACTTTGGTGGTTGACTCATAGAGTCGGGATTCAAATTCAGGTCTGACACCAAACCTCTGACTCCTCTGACCACACGGTGCTACTTCCCTCGGCGTGCAGATGCTGTGCCGTGTAAACCACCGCGGCATCTCCCAGGCCCCATGCAAATGTCCGTCCCATTCTTCTGTTAGTCTTGGTTGCCTGCCTCTCGACCCCTCTCCCCTTTCCCTATTTCAGATCTTACCCATCCATGTGCCAAAGTCAGCTGCCATCTCCTCCAAGAAGCATTCCTCTACCTTTCTCTCCACAGCACTTTTTTCATACTTCAATTGTAGCATTTGATTTACCTAATTAATTTTAACTTTATACCTGTGCACAAAATTTTGCATAGAGTGGTGGGTTCCATGACCCCCAAACCCCAAAGGGTCACTGGATCAAAAGGCGATGACCGACCAGAATGCGCTGGGAACTGAATCCGCCTCTCCCTAACAGAGACCTCAGACCACGTGCTGGAGTGAGGCTGCTTCTCTGAAGACACCTGTTCCTACTTTCTAACCAGCCAAAATTCCAGGGAGGTTTGAGCCCTAAAGAGCTCCTGGTCCCAGGCTGATTGTCTCCCACTGAGAACCCCAGTTCTGAAAGCCCAGCTCATTCCAGCTCAGGGGGCACAGTAAGCCCTGCAGGGCCTCTGCAGAGGGGGGCAGCCTTTAGGAATGCAAAACGGGCACCTCTATAATCTCTCAGGCTCAAAATAGCGAGGCAGGGGCCCCTGGAGTGAGATTCCAGCAACGACTGCAAAAGGCAGTGAAAGAAAGTGGGGCAGGGGATCCCACAGATGTAAGGGGTAGAGCAAAAACAAATTCCGATGACTAGAAATAAACTGAACCAAATGACCCTAACTCTGTGGCAAGGTAGTGTGTAATCACACAGAGAAAAGAACCACTTCAAGTGACTTTAAAACGGTTTGCTGACTGTACATCCCTAGTAGGATTTATTATGAAGAATTTTTAAAGTCCCAAATAATTTTAAGACTATAATCAATAATCTTGTTCTTAGCAGTAATGCCAATATATTTTTTTGGAAACTGTTATAAGCATGTTGCATAAGGAAAAAAAATTACTTTCTTCACAAACAGCAGTTCCCCACTTTAGCTCTGGTCCAGCCAACTGGTTTAAGCCCCTCAAGATCCTTTATCGCAGTGGCAAGAAGCATCCTTGCTTCCTCTTTCTTGCATCCGCAGTGCCTGGTTCACAGTAGGCACTCAATGAGCATCTCTTGGGTGGAAATGAAGTTCAAGGCACTAGGACTCTACTCAAATCCCCCAACTCACAGCCTATCCAATCCCACTAGGCCTCTGAGACCTGTCTCTTCTACCAGGAGGCCTCCTCTGATCTTTGCATAGCCGCACGCAGGGCTCCGGGATTTGCCGCTGAAGCATCAGGCAGTGGTCTGCCTTGTGACCAGTGGTCTCCCTTTCAGCCCTTCACACTCATGCTCTTACTCCATCTTGCCATGTCAGTAGTCATTTACTTTTACCAAAGGGATTTTTACATCTATTATTTCATTGAACCCTCCCCTTAACCCCATTTTAAGGCTCCATTTTACAAATAAGGAAACTGAGATGCAATGAAGTTAAATCGTTTGTCAAGGCCCCTCTGCTAGTGAATGATGTAGCTTGGTCAAAAGTTCTTTGGACAGATATGGGTTCAAATCCACTACTAACCATGTGGACTTGAGCAAGTTATTCATCCATTCATTCATTTACTGATTCAAAAACCATTTCTTGACTCTGTGAGGCACAGTGTTGGTGCTAGGAACATAGAGGGGGGTGGAGAACATAGACAGTGTTCTCCAGGGATAACTCAGGCTCCATCTCCCCATCTGTCAAAACAGAATAATATCTGACTCTGCCACAAATGAAGGATTAGTCAAAGATTGAAATAAAACAAAATATATATAATTAATATATATATGTAGCATAGGTGTAGATATAGGAGAATAGTTTGCTCAGTAGACTAGGCAAATCTTCAGAATTTTCCAGATGCTTCCGTGATACTTGCAGATGATATTTCCAGATGCCCACCAGGCAGATTATCCAGAGGACCTGGTAAAACGCTGCCTCTTTTTAGAACATGGAAGAGCAAAAGCGTTTATTAAGCGCTGGCCAGGGACGCTACCCTGTGCTACACAGTGAGAGGCTTCCCCCACGTGTAAGACAGGACTAGGAACGTGTGCCGACTATCCATGGTAATGCCTGATGGCCCTGAGAGTCCTCTCAGGGCGAGATCATGTCAGATGTTTTTAAACTCATGGGCTTTCGAGACAGACAGATGTGGGTTTGAGTCTCTGCCCTGCCGTTTACTAGCTAGTGACTCTGGACAAGTTCCTTACCTGAGCTGCAAGTGAAAAATAGGTGTAATAATAGTACCTCATAGGATCATTGGGAAAATTAAATAAGGTAATGTATACCAAATGATTAAAACAGAACCTAAGACACAGTAAGAACTCAGTAAGTAGCCCCTATGGTAAGTCTCTCCTACTATAGTATAAGCCTTGGGTTTCTCACTTGCCTGAAAGATACTTTTGTCTTCTAGAACAGCCAGTGCAGTCAGGATGCATGGGATGAAGATGGAGAAGTGGCCACATCAGTTCCTAGCCCCGCAGCCCCAGTGCAAATCTCCCTCTGCAGGGCTCAGCTCCAAGGAGTCCAGCTGGGTGCATCTGGCTGGGGAGATTAAATTATTTTTGAATTCCTAACTGAATGTTCTTTTAATGGAAACTTAATGACAGGCATTGAAATAGATTTCCTCCATAACCCCTCCTCCTGCGGCGCCCCCCAACACAGCTCTGGGTTGCACAGTTCCCGATAACCTTTATTCCCTACCCTTGGACTTTTATCTCCCCAGTGACAAACAGCTCTTGCTGGACAGAAAGAGGAAATTCCAGTCATTGTTCTCAAACTTCTGGCTTCCAAAATAAAATGCTCTATCTCCCCTGTCAAGCTTTGATTGACATTCACTTCCTGTAATGGCAGACAACAACGGCCCAGGGGCGGGGTCAGGGGCTTATTTGCATTCTTTGCATCAGAGGTTTTCATAACATTTGTTCTAGACAGAGGAAGATCCCCCATGCTACTCACAGAACCACCCTGTCGGGACCCATCTCCAGTATTATGAAAAATCTCCAAGGAAGGCACCTCCTCCACTGTGCATGCATTCCACCAAGGAAGTTCTTTCCTGTCCTGTTGCACACCCATTGGCCATGGGAAGAGACAGACACTCTAATCATCCCACTCTTAGCTTTGGCAGCTTAGAGGGGATCTTTTCCTTCTACCCTTTCTTTCTTTAGAAATAAGTTTGTAGACATTCTTCCAAATCTCAACTCTAAATATTGGCGCTCTAATCAACCGAAGTCCTGCAAGTTTAACCCAGGATCAGACTCTCCAAGTCCAGACCCCCATAGCAACAGAGCCAAATTAGGCTATTCAAGGAGAGTCAGTACCAAGGAAAACTGAATATGGTATGCATCATGGGATGCAGTTTTTCTTGAAAGAAATAAGAAATGTTGAATTGCTCTTAAAGTGGATGAATCAGTAAATCTAATAATATGGCACACCTGTAGCAATAGCAGTACTGATGCGGTCAAGACCTGCTGGCAACAATGTTACTGTGTTGGAATAAAAAGCTGGCCTTTAACACTGGCATTAGTCTATGGGCTTTCTGGAACCTTCTGTTTCCCATTTATTTTCTTTGCTCACTGAGCTCCTATGCCCTTGGTAACCCCCTTTCTCCAAATGCCCAGGGTTCTTATGCTGCTTTTAGGTTCCAGTCACCCTTTAGGATTATCAAAAGGTGACTCTGAGGCCTCACTTCCTCAGGACTTTATTGGACAGAAGTATATTAATGGTTGCTGGAAGTTCAACAATAATTTGCATTAAAAAGGAGACTCCAGGTGGCAGAATGTCTTAATCCTAATCAAGGAATATTTGGAAGCAGACAGACTTCTACTGAATAACCCTGAAAGAGATGTCAATCACATAGATTCCAGTTGTTCAGCTCTCTTAACAATCAAAAGGAATGGACTGCTTATGATCATTTCACTTCCAGCAATCCTCAAGCATGCTGCTAACGAGCAGGAGAACAGACCAGAAGGAGTGTGTTCTGACCTCCAGTTTATGAAGCAACTACAGAGTCATAAAACCTCATGACAACGTGCCAGCAGAGAATTCTAGCTCCCTCAAGCTTGTTATACCTGATTTCCTTTAGCTTTGTCAGCAGATTAATTGCAATTCCAACACACTTACAGGCACAGAGTAATCTCCCTTGTGGACCAGTTGTATCCACTGTTAGACCACTGACAAAATGCGCAACTCTAAACCCATCAAACTTCTCACTAGTCTTGGTCAGAAGGACTAGGGTGTGTGTATGGATCTGTACAAACTCAACCCCAGGCCTGGGAAAACAAAGCCACCCCTACTGATGACTGCCGGCAGCTGCCGCTTCGTGTGCCAAGACTCACACTGGAGTGATTTGACGGCGCTACACAGGAAGGGACATCTCTGTAGCCGAGGTCATTTCCTCCCTGGGAAGCTGGAGTCAAGACAACATATATGTCCTATTTACCATCTTCCCACCCCTCCTGCCTCTCCCAGGAGAAAGTCCACCCTCAGTGAGAGGATTTTCTCCAGTTGGTCTGTCACAATTAATACACAATAACTGACACTTTTGGGAAGTATATGCACAGTTACAGAGATTTAATATATTAGTCAATACACTGAAAACATTTTGATTCCTAAGCAGCTTTGAGTACCATACTTTCCAGAATACATTCAAAATAACGTAGGAGGGGAACTGAACAAGACATTCACAGTGAAACCTTCCCCTAAAGATCAATCATTATACTGGGTTGGTCCCTTTGAGGAAGATGCAGTGTTGGCCTTCAGAGAAAGGAAGACCTCGCACTTGCCTCACAGTGGGTCACATCCTTTCCCTTTCACACTTCTCCTTTAGAAATGGCATTTCAGTACAAACCCTAAGCAGAAAAACACAGGGAACTTTTTTTCTCTCCGGAGCATTCGCAGTACTTTCCCCTTGAGGTGCCTTGGTACCTTCAAATTCCTCATTGCCTTCCTGGAAGAGGAAGAAACACTCTTCTCACAGATTTGTAGCCCAAATCCCTTCTAACACAAATTAGAAGAAATGCCACCACCATTTCAAATCCAGCATCCTTTCTTGCAGGAAGGTGTTCATTGAGATTCTAGAGTGGTGATTTACCCTCTGTCTAAATGTGCCACATGAGATCACTTGGGCCAAAACCCAACTTGGGCTGCCATGCCTGGATAGGCCCTGAAGCCTATCCCAGTGCTGGGCTCAGTGCTCCTCCCCATGTTGGGTACGTAGAGGTGTGGAGTGCATGGACTGAGGCTTCCGTCCATCCTCTGGAAACACAGCGTGACCCAGACTGAGATGAAAGCTCCAACAACCAGCGTTGGAGAAGGTCAGAGCCTCACAAACGTTCTTTGTGTGTCAGTCTTTTCTCATTGTCTTTGATTGATTCATCTCCCTCAACTCAGGAAATAATTTTTCCTTTGATAAAAGCCAGTGTTAACATAAAAGTGACTTTTTTCTTATCAGTAGAATCAAAATGAGAATATGATTTTTCCCTTATCCTATCTAAAGCTCATAACTTCTTCAAGGAGACTTTTAAAAGTCTCATTTGGCCTGTCCGTGAGACTTTTGATGATTTTGTCTGTTCCATCAACATGGCATGATTTCAAATAATCATCTATAGATTCCACTTGAGCTCCTAGGGCTTCCATATTCCAGTTTTCTGTAAATATAATGCATGTTCTAATGCAGTTGCCTTGTAGAGCTACGTGTCTTGTAGGATCATGGTTATTAGGTTCAGGGGCGGGTAGACTTTGAAGTCTCTTGCCCTACCTTCAAACCCCCAAATTATTGATTATATTATAATGCTTCTAGTCACTAGGTATCTTCAAGACTTTGCTTTATTTGTGTCGAAAAGCCACTGCTACATTTTTGTGTCATCTGTTTCATTGACTTCTGACAAGATGAAGTTGGGGTTGTCATAACCTCTCTTCATCCTGGCTGTAGCATCCTTCTCGTTATAAAGGCACATGGCACAGTGAGGGGTCTCCACTTCCACTGTCTTGCTAAAGTTATGGAAATCCACTCGGTATTTCCCTTCCTTGGTCTTGGATACTATGGGAGCAAAACGGTAGCCCCAAAGCACTTCTTCTGGGACATAGGATGTCCGGACTTGGCAGGTAGCACTGGTTGACTCCACCGTGCCATCTAAAAACACTACTAATTCAAAGTCCTGCTGGGGGAGAGTTTCTGCTGCCATGTGGAAGAAGGGGCTGGTGTGATCAATGACATGGTAAATTGTCAGTGGGGAGATGAAGAATAAATTTTCATTCCCTGCATCAACTACAAAGTTGATATTGATCTGGTCCAAAATAATGGTCTCTCCTTCAGGAGTGACCGTGGTCTTCAGAAGCTTTCCATATATGTGACTGCCAATAAGGAGGCTCTTCCTAAGATTAGCCACTCGGATTAGGAGGCAAAGCTTCCCACCCCGTTTACTGATCACTGCATTCTTGCTGAATGTAATGGTCTTGGCACGCTTTTTGGGTCTGGAGATCTTGGCTAAAATGGCACCACACATGAAAGAATTGACGATGACTCCGAGTATAGACTGGAAGATAAGCAGAAAAATGGCAGTGCCACATTTTTCTGTCACACACCTGAATCCATATCCAATGGTCACCTGCGTTTCCAGAGAAAACAGAAAAGCTGAAGTCAAGCCATTAATGTTCTCCACACAAGGGGTGTGGTTGACGGAAGGATGGAACTCGGGGAGATCTTTGTGAATGTAGGCTACAGCATACCACAGGAGACCAAAGAGGAACCAGCTCCCCAAGAAGGCTGTGATGAAGATCGTCATTTTGTATCTCCATTTGAGGTCAAGCACGGTCGTCCAGATGTCCACAAAGAATATAAACCTTGACTGTGCCTCCACATTGCCAAACTCGATGTTACACCTTCCATCTTTGGAGACGAGCCTCGCTCTTTGCCGAGAATGCCCAAAAAAGCAAGTGACAAACCATTTCCGAAGATGTTTGAACATTCTTTCTGTCAACACCCTGTTCTGAAAACACATCAAAGAAAAACAAAACAAAATTATGTTTATAGCAGCAGTGAACTAGATGACTCACATAAAGAGCTAACTATATATGAAAAGACCATTCAAAACAATCTGGGTTACTGATCGTTTGGGCAAGCTGACAAGTTTATTCTGGATACCACAATACTATTTCCAGTAGAAACTTTCCACTAGGAGACAATATTGCTTAAATGTAAAAAGGAAAAATAATTAGAGAGAGAGAGAAATGGAATGAATCTAACAGAGCATATATTCAAGTGTTTCTTGACCTCAGTAAGTTACACGAAATCTTAAAAATGTTTATGATAACCAATTATGATCGGTACTACAATTTACTCGATATTATTTTTTAAATCAACTCTTTTCTCTTTAATAAACTTAGCCTAATTCTAAGCAAAAATATCTGTGAAAGCAGAAGCTTGATGTACTATTTACTTTTTTGTAATTTACAAAAATAAATAACTATGAACAAAACCCACTTATCAATATACTACCTAAATCATCTTGTGTACTGCAATTGGTACTCAAATATCAGCAGAAATCTTAATCCAATTCAATTCTCACATTTATCAAATGAAGGGACTGAGATTCAGGAAATTGTAATGACGCGTCCAAAGTTATGGACCCAATCAGTGGCAGGACAATAACTAAAGCACAAGGTGCCCTCCTTCCAGTCTGGAGGAACCTCTACCACACCGCACCATCTTGCATCTCAGTTAGTAAATTTTATACTCTAAAGTTGGATTGCCCTGAGACATTTTAAGACAAGTATTCGTCAACTTCCTTTTTTTTTTTTTTTTAATTCTTGACACTATTTAGAGCAGAGTTCCTTAATACTGCTTGGTCAAGTCCTACTGGATGATCTCGGAAGTTTTCTCAGTGGATCTACAAGCTGTTTCTACTCTTCCTCCACGATTTGCCAAGATTCTCAAAAGGAACGGTATGATGGTGACCACCAATATCTCACACTTCCTTCCCTGCTCCAAGGCTGAAGGTCTGGGGAGCACTGATTCAAATAATACTCCATAAGGGTGGAACTATGTTTTATTTGTTTCTCTATTCTAGCTGCTAGCACCGTCAATGGGTGCTTACTATTTATTCAATAAACATAAGTGGAATAACTCAGTGAATGAATTAACCTCTTCAAAATGTAACCTGATCAATGGTTTCTTATTGATGATGTTATTGTGACTTCCATTTTATAGCAAAAGGGTGAAGGGATTTTCCCCTAAACAGCCAACAATAATGAGACCCAGAGGTCACAAATACTAGACTACCTCCTCCCCTAGGTGTGCCCGTCCCCACCCCCAAGGTGTGCCCACCACGGTTAGAAATGTCTTCGTGGTATTTTAAATTAAATGCAAATATGTTTCTAAAATAGGTTTCAAAATCCCCCTTCAAAATATGTTTATTCATACAAATTGGGAAGCGAAACCAACTTAGTGATAAATTTTAAACACAAGTGATATTCTACAGTGTCTAGCTCACAGCCTCAACCCAGGTGAAAACACAGAAGTCAACAGCAAGAGACACAGCTGAGATGATTTGAAATTTTGGAGACAGGTTCTAAAGACATAAAAAGAAAAAATGCTACCAGGAGAGCAAACAGCAGTGCGCACACTCAGATGGCCCTGCCCTCGGCCCACCCAACCTTCACTGACCCCATGTCTCCAAAGAGGATTAGGGGACAGTCCCCTGTGAGGCATACCAAAGGAGAGAGAGTCTCCTTCTGCCCCAGGCTCTCCCCTTTCTCTGCACACACGTCATTTAACCTTGCATACATTCACTGGAGACTTTCTCCCTTTCCCAAGTTTATGGAAGCTCACACTGTTTCAAAAGCTCTTCATAGAATGGATCTCACCTAAAATAATGAATTCAAAAGCCACCATTTATCACTTGAATCCACATTCTTTTTGTCTTACATTACAATTCCAGAGATGGCTCCTAAGACACCAACTTCTGAGTTTTTCTTTCCCACTACTCTTTCCCTCCAGTCTCTCTTAAATTCATTTTACTTTTGAGAATAAAGAATATTTCTGCAGAGTGAAGTACCCCCTGATTTATCTCTTGGATAAGTTTTGGTTTCCCTGCCTGTATTACTAACAAAATATTTTTGCCTGGCCTTGCAAAGAGCTGAAACAAAAGCAACCAGCTTATAATGCTTTCCCAAGATTTTCTGCACTTACCAACATCCTAAACATATTCTGACCCGAGGCATCCATGGCTGGGAAAAGCAAGGAAGTGGTGTCAGGAGTTGGTCTGTGTACACAGGCTGATTTCTTCTAGACCCAGCCTCATTTATTTTAGGCTTTGGTCAGTGGACTGATACTAATTTGTATTAGCTTGAAAACACTTAATTTGATAACGGAGTTGCATTGTTTGAACAAAGGCAATTGGTTGTTGTTAGACCAAGCCCCAAGCTGGGTACGTACTATTTTCCCCCACACCTCACATGGCTTGAATACCGTCATGCTAAGACGTGACAAACCACCAGCTAAGGTCCCTGGGCAGCAGGTGTGGATTATGTTCCTAGCCTTTGGCTCCTCTCCTTTGCCACGCTCTATAGCTCTCTTGCTGTTTCTCCTTGGTCATTCCTAATAACTTTTCACCAGAAACAATTAGTTATCATCAATCTCCCAGCTTATTCTCGGAAACACACCGAGATACTGAGACTTCCAAGAGTTCACACAAATACAGGTGAATACATAGACAGAGATAAGTGCGTATTTGTAAGATGAAAGTAAAACCACACGAGGAAGAAACAAGATACCATGTTAATCTCTTTATACAACGGTTACTGTTATGTAAGAAACTGAGATTTAAAAGCAGCCTTTATTGTTGGATTTATTTTATAAAATCTGGCATTAACTGAAAGTACTTTTTATGCGTACTGGGTTAACCAATGCTGTTGATTTATTTATTCAAAGAGTGAGAAGAATTACACCTAGAGACGGCAAGAATCCAGGATAACTTCGTCCTCTGACCAAACCCATCATCTGCACAGCAGACCCGCTATCCACAGCACGTCTCCTACTTTGCTTACACAGTGGCATTTAATCTAACCACTGACAGAGCCAATATGCATTTTTTGAACTATTGGGTAATTAGAGATTGGCCCTGGTGTCTGGATTAAGCACAGTTTTTAGGTTACTTTCTATTGAAATCAGTAAATCTTAATAGCAAGCAAAGGGCTGTATATTAGCTAATATTTACCAAGCGAGTCCTAGTGGCCTGGCCAAGCAAGTGGATCCTATCATTGCCACGTTTTTATTCAGTGCTCCAGCTTTCTTGTTCTGTAAACAGTCCGTTCTCAGAAAATAGACTTTTTGTAAACTTCCCAAACATTAATTGTTTGCTTATTTTTTAGGATTTCAAAGACAAACAGAACCCTGTTCTTGCTCTCAAGGAGCTCGCAGTCGAATGGAGAAGTGAGCTCAGTAAACCCGCGACTGCAGTGTAGTGTGGTCCGTATGGCTCTCTGTTAGATGGGTATCCACCCTCTGCAAAAACGCTTCAACTGACAGAAAACTGAATGCCTTTACGTGTGCATTAGTGAGTGTATCTGTCATCATCCAACACTGACGTGGTGGTACTTGTGTGTTTACTAGGCACTGTGCTAGACATCAGGGAAGCAATTGTCTGCCAAATGGGCACAGTCCTTGTTGTCGTGAAGGAGCTTCCAGTCGAGTGTAGAGGTGGAGACGGGAACGAGCTGATAAACAATCAAACGCATTGAGATGCATGACAGGTCAGCAAACAGTGGGAGTGCTCCCGGGAGCACCTGTTCTGAGGGGCAGAGAAGTACCACCAGGCGAGGGCCTGAAGATGGCATTAGAGTCACATATAGTAGGAACTCTATGAATGTCTGCTGAATGATAATAAATAAATTAATCAATGCACGGCTAACAGCAATGAGTTTGCTGTCACTTATACGGCTCCCCACCAATGGAGGTATTTTGGAAGAGACATTCCCGCATACATGGTAATGACCGCGCTGCGCTGTGATTGTTGGGTGTGACCCAGGCAGCGGCAACAGAAGAAGAGAACTTGGAGGAGCTGAAGAAGTCTCAGGGAAATAGGTAACAGAGTGCCAGGGCCCTCGGTGAGACGTGGGCTGGAAAGGCCAGCAGGGCCAGCACACTCAGTGCTTGGTGTGCCTGTGTGATGTCCGTGTTGTAGACTAGAGGAGAAACTGATATAGAGAACACACGTCTAGTTCCACTTCAGGGACAGCTCGTTATAATTCTAAATAAGTCTCAAGCCTCTTCTGTTTAGCGGTCCTTCAAATTCTTGAAAAGAAACTTATTTTCCTCCTGAATCTCCTTTTCTTCGTAAAAATGCAGGTTTCATTTGCATGCAAGGCCCACATCAAACAAATCCTCTTCATCCTAAGTGAGGTACCTACAGCTTGAGCTCACAGATGAGACTGTATTTGCAGCATCAGCACAGAGGCTGTGCTTGTGGGCCTCCACCTGAGAACAAGCCTTTACGAATTTGGGGTTTCCTACAGCACTTGTCGCACCGCCTCCTCCCGCCTCCAGCACGCTCGACAGCCTCAGCATCAGAGAGAGGAGGGCAAACAGACCTGGCTTTATTACCTCTGTTTAGAATCACACAGCTATCATCTCTCTACATAGATGAACACTGACTGCAGGCCGCCTTTCAGAGAAACCTTTCACAGCCTTAGTTTCCTTCAGGACATTTCTAGGAGTTGAGATTTTATGCTGGATGTAGAAAATATGAGTTATGGGTCCTGAGAGCAGAGCCAGATTATTTTCTGTAGTCCCTTTGGTGGAGAAGAAATTCAAGTTTCCATGAAAATGTACTGCTTTGTTTCAGGCCAACGGTCCATTGAATCAACAAGCATTTCTTGAGGACCTACCACAGCAAGGCATAGAATGGGATTCTGGGACGTGCTCTCTGCCTTCTTAATCAATATAATCAGACAGACACTCTATTCATTGAACATCTCCTGTGTACCAGGCACTGTGCTAGGAAACAAAAGAGGTGACAGCCCCTGCTCTCAAGTTGCTCTCAGATAAGTAATTCAATCATGCTACGCAGCAGCCTTACGGCCCTGAGACGACTGAGCACGGGGTTCTAAAGCAGCCACCAAGGAGGAGACCCGACAGGCTGCGTGAAGTTTATTGTCTTCAACACCCTGGGTGAGGAGCTGGAACAAATGCCTCTACCTGCTCCTGCAGACGACTTCCTGTTTTCTATGAAAATGGTCTCAAGCTATTGAGGATAACCCCTCCGCTGGATTTGCAAATGCTCAGGGCCCCGAGGAGCGCTAAGGCATCCAGCTCCGTGAACTACTCCTTTCACATCCAGAACCTATTGTGGACAGAGGGCATCTTTTTGTTCCCTAATTCCAAGAGAAGTTCTCTCTGATGTCTTCAGCATTATTGGGCAGCCCACTTGGGGTCAGCATAAGCTCTTCTTAAATAGAACTTAGCAAGACCAATGGAAACAATTTTTCCTGGCCTCATGGGTGTGTAAAAGGGTGTCTGAACCTCAGGACTCTTCCAGGCTAGATTTGGGAATGCCCTTCAGGAATTTCCCACATTTCCCCTGGAGTGAGTGCCCCCAGGCCCTCTCCACTGAGAAGGCACAAGTCTGCTTGTGTCCAGGATGGGAATGCAGCCCAGACTTTCCCGGGTACCTTGCTCCTTCCAGAGAGTTTGACAACAAGAGCCAGGGAATTGCGAGGTCCGAGGGTGCTGGTGCTCTCACGAGGCACACCAGGTGCTGTAGGGATCTCTGGAGCCAGCCAGCCATTAGCACTGCCGGAGAAGTACAAGATGTGCCATGCGTGGGGGATCAAGAGAGGATGGGAGACCTGGTCCAGATGCTCATGGCACAGTTAATAATGAAAGGCAGGGAGGCAGAGTGGAAGGAACTCCAGCTTGGTAAGCACAGATACAGATTTGAACTCCACTTCTGGCACTTAATGGCCAGGTGACCTGAGCAAGCCACTTAGCCTTACTGAACCTCAGTTTCCTCATCTGTGAAATGGCTGCAAGAATATACTTTCAAAGGTTGTGGTGTGTTTTAAACACAATCGCATATGTAAAGTTCGTAGAACGTAGCAAGCATGCAATAAATAGTAGCAACTATTACTGTTAGCCCGAAGTTCAAACGTGTGCAGCAGTTTAACCGGGTGTCACTGACCCAGGCCGTTCAGCCTCTACTACACAGAGCCCAATGGGCTGTGTGGGAGGTGACAGCCTAGTGAGAGGGAAGGCTTCTAAGAGAGAGTGACAAACTTCTGACAATACATCAGTGTCTGTGAACTGACTGGCTTCAGAGCCCATCCTTCCATGTGGAATAGAAGACCTGGGAAAGGCAGACATGTTTTTATAAAGGATTTGCCTATAATCAAGGCAGAAGCCTTATCTGGGTGAGGTGGAAGAGGATAGAGGGAGAGAATTATCCTCGGCAAGGCTGAGCAGAGACGTGGTCATGATGCTGGTCTTCTCCTACCGTAGACATCAAGCAAGATGATCAGATCACTAAATATATATACACATATATATATACGTGTGCCCATTGGAAAGGAGAAAAGCAGCCCTGACGTCTGGGACTCACAGCTAGGTCTTGATTTTCTGTTGAACACAAACAATTTCACAGAACATCAACAGCAGACAAGCCCACACGATGATCAGGTCCAAACACAGAAAAAGTCATGAACATTGTCCAAACCATAAAAATGACCACTATCCCCCTATCCTGGCCGTTATGAGGGACCCCTGCTTCTTTGCCATTAGCAGGTTTAGCCTCACACTAGTCTTCTCTCCTTCTAGGCAATAAGATTTACTGACGTGCCCAATCATAAAATTACCCGCACTTCCTGACAACATCTAACCCGGAGCAAAGTACTGCTTCCTTAAATCTTCCCCAAATCCTGTTTAAGTGCTTTCTCACACTCGGCGAGGCTGCCCACAGCTCCTCACATTGTGTGTTTGCACCAGCTGCAGAAAGTCAACTTGTCCAGCTACAGAGGTGCTCTTGGTGTGGCTTCGCTGGAAGGCTGTGACACCACGAAAGGACACAAGAACACACAAAAGAAGAGGTGTAACTAGGACGTCACAAAAGCCATTTTACAAGCCAATTGGAGAGAACCAATTCCATTCCATTTCTTCCAGAAGTCACACACACACCTGCACTTTGTACATAGGTTTGCTTTCGTGTCAGGATGTGAAGACTCAAGGAAGCAACCGGATTTAAATACGAAAAGTCATTAAAATGAGTTAAAATTTTCAAGAGAAATTTTCAAGTGAAATTCTATCTCTCTGACTTGTTTACCAGGGCCATTGGTCATCCTAAGATAATTGTACTCTCACCACAAAGACCTGTATCTCTTCATGGCCCCTGGATTGGGTCTCAGCAGGAAACACAGGTGGGTTCCCACCCGTGCAGCCAGCCTGGGAGCTAGTGAAGCTGAACCCAAGCAAGGTGTCCTCAAGGTCCTAGCGGTCTTCGGTGGCAAGTCTTTTTCCTGGAGTCAGAAACCTATGCTTTGGAAACTGACATTTATTCTGTGTGTGTTTCAATATTGTTTCCTTATCATTCTTCCTAACTGTTTCTTAAAGTATTTTGGAAGTACTAGCATGTGTCAGCTTTGCAAAGAAGGGCCAGAAGGGAGGCACTTCATCGTTGCTGATTCAGAGTTTTGAAGGGAGAGCAACACATCCCTGAGGTGTGAGGAGTGATGACGGCAGAGTAAGAGAGCCCTAGGGGACGAGAAGAACTCACCGTCACAGAACTGGATCTACTTGCCTTCTATTCTAGAGATTTCCTAAGAATATTTCTCTTCTGAACTTTAAGGAGTTCTGCTCTTTACCAAGGAAAGCTATTGCCTTATTGGGCGTGAGTGGATTGAGCCAGAGTTAACAGGGTAAACGAAGGCAAAAGTGAAGACGCAGTGTTCAAAATGAATGAAGAGAAAGGCCAGGGTTGAGAAAAGTCTCTGGAGAGTGTGCAACGGGGCAATGAAGACTGCTGTGGAGAGTTCCAGCAGCCTGCTCCCAGCTGCAAGAGACAGGTTACATTCTGTGTGAACAGCGCCCTCTAGAGCACAATCCAAATGGTGCCCTCTTGGAGCAGTGAAATTCTGGGGCCCAGAAAGCCTACAGCATCCACCCAGGCACAAGTGCAAAATCTCTTGCCTGTGTTTTTGTATTTAGTTCTCATTAAAACCCTAGGAAGTGGGGAACTGAGATTCAGAGAAGTTAAGCAATTTGCCCAAGGTCACAAAGCAGAAACCTAGAAGAGCAAAGATTAGAAAAATCTAGGTTTACCTAACTGAGAAGGCCTTGCTTTTAAACCCTATGTCATACTCAAAATAGTGACTAAACCATGCAGTGGGAAGGCAAACATTTATTCGGCACCTACTTACTATGCAGCAGGAATGGTGACTTTCAATACGTTTCCTTGCTTAATGCAGAGATCAATAACACGGTAAGAGTAACCAAGAGATCAACCTAAATATCGAACCTAAATACATAGGGAGGATTTGGACTGGGGGACAGGGGGCAGGTTTCCAGGGACAAGGAAGAACGTGAGCAAAATCACCAAACAGGGAGAGAAGCAGGGTATGCAAGAGGATGGGGGCTCCACAGAGAGCGTACAGCACCTACTAGATTGGATCGAAGCGGGAAGGGCCTCAGTGCCAGGCGGAGTTCAGAAATGGTCAAGACGTCAAAGTAATTGAGAGGAACTGTGGAAACAGCTGAAGATGTTGTACTGTTAAGCATTGTGCTTACTCTGGAAGCTTCTACAGGCCGTCCTGGCTTGAACGAATGGTAGAAAATGGCCTGAGTGATGGGAATGACGTCTTCCATTTGGAGACATTTGTAGGTATCTCCGCGGTGCCGTCACTGCGTCTTTGGCAGTCGGAGGTGTGCAGTGACAGCACGATGGCTAGTGTGGGAGGATGGGGAGCTTCCTCCCCAGGGGTGGTGAGCTGAGTCTTGTGTACTCACCGCTCTAGCAGATGGCAAAGTGCCCTGGCCTTGGAGTCAGTTAGTTCGGTAACATTTATGGAGTGCCAAGGTCATGCTTAGGCCACAGACCACAGATACAGAGACGAGGAGACACACATTTGAGGCCCGGCCCTGCCTCACACCAACTAGAGAAACTTGGGCAAGTCGCTTAACCTCTCTGAGCCTGCCACGTGTGCCGTCTCTCCTGCTGGGAACACCTGGCCCTCTACTCTCTCCTCCTGGCTGACTTCTTGGTTTCAACCTAAATGTCATTTCTCAGAAAGAAACTTCTATGTCAGTTTCTCAAAGAGAGGGGAGTTCCCGACCACCCCCCTCCTCATTTAAATTGATTCCCCCCTTACAATATTTTATTGTACTCTTTACTGTTTATTTGTAGCGTTTACCCTGATTTTAACTTACACAATTTCCTTTTGTGATGGTCTGGGGGTAGTGACCCCATCCATCTCTTCCACTGCCCACCTAGCCCTGGGCCAGGAGCGGATGCTCAATAAATGTTTGTCAAGGAAATAAATAAATGCAGTACAGTGTAAATGACTCCAAGTGCTTGATTTTCAGAAGAGGCTGTGGAGAGGGTAATGGAGCCTGTCGCCACTCTCCAGTGCTGGTGTGCAGTCTCCATGGCACCTGGACAGGGCAGATGACTGGCGGACGCTTCACCTAAGTGGCCTTGTGGTCTCGGGCTCCTCATAACCAAACTCTTATCCGCTTTCTTGTAGCCTGGGTTGTCCATATATGTATTACATGTAACAGTAAGTCATACTACATCAGGATAGTAGGTATTTAAAGGAATCCTTTACTGAATTATTTTATGAAGTGAAGAATTAATTTTGAGATAAAATAATCATCCTCCTATTTGTTTTCCTTGTAAAAGTATATGTGTTGGAAGAACAGTTTGTTTTTCTGAAAACTGGACACATTTTATAATGGAACAAGTCCTAAATCTCATCTACCGAGCCACTCACCTTAAACGGCACTGGAGTTTAATAAAAGGATTTAAATGTTTACAAAAAGTCGTGTTTCTTATGTGCGTAGAGAGCCTGTTGTTAGTCGGCCTTTCTAGTTCTCTGTGGTTTGGGTTGGTATTACACCAACTCAGTCTTTCCAGCCCAGAAACGAATGAATTCCATGTGGACTGGAGGCTCTGAACATTCTTTCCTGAGTCTCTGTAACAAGAAAGGACACTTTGTTTTTAAGAAAACATATAGAATTTGAAACTTTGGCAACTTACAAAATAGAGGACTCGTTCAGCTAATGCCTTGGCTATAGGCGTTGGGAACTAGTATTCATAACGCTGTACCCACAGGAAAAGAGTGTCACGTCAGTACAGCCCGGCTCTGGGAGCCATGCTAAGCAGAAGGCACAGAACACCAGGCTCTTGAGTTTGGATTGGAATTCTGGACACCTTCTAGTGCCACATTCTAGCTTATGTTTGAAGTCTTGCTGTCACGGGCCACCAAGTGGTCCACCAGGCAGGATTGAAGAAGTGGGGGTGGGGTTTGACTCTGGAGTCAGTCACCGACCAGCTCTAGCACTGGGTACTATATCACCTCTCAGGGTGTCAATTTCCTCATCTGAAAAATGGACATTCATGTCTATCCTACAGATGGATAGAAAGAACTTAACACCTGGACATGGAAAGTGATCAAGCTATTAACACCTTCAGTAATACTACCTCCAGCTCTAATTTCTCCAGCAAGTACTAGCCATGCACTGAATGAAAGATCCAATCATGTCATTATCTGTAATGCCTTTACTTCTAGGCTTCTCTATACCAGTGTCCAGGCTGCAATGGTATCACGTTTATCAGAAAGGTGATGAGAAGGGCAGGGCTCTAGGATAAACCACAAGGCAGTGGATTAGCTGGAGAGCCAGCATTCTTCTTGGTTCTATTGCTCTGCCCTGGGGAGCTTCTGAGGGTCAATGATTACCAGCTTTGGCTTGGGTTCTGCCAAGTCATCAGAGTTACATTTATGGGGCAGCACGTCACCCACCCTCCCACGTCCAGGTGTTTTCTGGGAAAGCCCTGGAGGCAGAGGGAAGCAGAGCCAGCAGCCTTGGTGACCCTTTTGTTCCACATCACAGAGCTGCCCTTGGGCCCACGCTGGATTCCTCTCTTTGGGACTCTCCTTGTCCCCCATCAGAGCTCACCCGAGGGGGCCCCCTCAGAGTGGGCACTGCTGCAGAGACTTCCCACCTGGCTGCTCACAACGCAGATGAACTACTCCAGCAATTGTCTTGACAATTCTCGTGTCTGCCCCTAAAATGAGGATGGCAAGTGGGAGAAGGGGGACATCCCCCAGACCCCAGAGCCATGCCAGGGCAGGGCATACATGGGGCCCACACCCACCTACCTCCAGAGGGAAGGCCAGTGGAGACTACCACAGCCCTGCTGATGCACTCGGTCTCGTTCCTTCTGTCCTTCTTTTTACTCTGTGGTGTGCATAATGGCCTGGGAAAGATGAAGTGAAATGCCACTTTATTTCCTCTTATTTGCCCTTCTATCACAATGAAACCCAATCAAAAGAAGTTTTTACATCTCAAAAATGTTACTTAACCTCTCTGAGCCTCAGTTTTTTGTAATAAGTTGGCGATTACAATGCCTATTTGTTGTTTTGGGGAGTAAATGGAAAATACACAAATCCACACAAAAACTTGTACACAAATGTTTATAGCAGCATTATTGATAATGGCCAAACAACCCAAATGTCAATCAACTGATGAATCAATGAATAAAATGTGGCCTATCCATTCAAGGCAATATCATTTGGCCATAAAGATGGAAGGAAGTACTAATATATGCTACAACGTGGAAGAACCTTGAAAACACCGTGCCAGGTGAAGGAGGCCAGCGCAGTGTTATTCATTTATGCAGATGTCTAGAACAGACAAATCCACAGAGAAAGAAAGTCAGATTGCTGATTGTCAGGGAGTTTCTTTCTGAGCTAATGAAAATGTTCTAATATTGATTGTGGTGATTATGGTTGTACAACTTTGTACAACAAACAATATTCTTAAAAAACATTATTGTACACTTTAAATGGGTGGATTATCTGATATGGGAATTATATCTCAATAAAGCTGGTACAGAAAAAATACCTGTTGCATAGAAGAGACTCAGCAACTCCCCTCTTATCCTCATCCCTCTCCTCCATGTCTTAATCCTCAGTTCTTCCTCTTCTCTTTCTACTTCTCTCCTCCAGCACCAGCCAGAAGCACTACTGTAGGCCCTTGTTGGGCCCTCGCCTGAACTTGGCGCCTCCCTCCTACAGCAAGCGGCCACTGTGATTCGGGAGGCACCACCATTAAAAATTACTTTCTTGGTCACAAGATCCTGGAGGTACAGAGAGATTTCTCTGCTTATCCTCACTCCTAAACAGAAGCTCTGCCTGCACCTGGAGAGTTACCTCTCCTCCCGGCATTTATGGGAGAACTTCTTCTTCCCTACCCAGTCCAGAGGGTGAGGGGCGGAGCAGTTGGGGCAGAGTGTGGGCATCTCCCACCCACCCACCTTCACCTGCGTTCCACAGGACTGACCCTGAGTGGGCAGCTCCAGGGCGAAGTCCTGTCTCAGCTCTGCCCACTCACCTCTCACACCTCCCAGGGCTGGAGGTCAGGCTAAAGTCATGTGCTTGGGACCGAGTCTGCAGTTCCAAAAGCGTGGCAGGCCCACAGACTCATGGACTAGCTGACCAATGCCCCGGAAGTGGGGTGGGAGGAATTCACAGGGCTGTGGTCCCATCCAGCTGCACCACTGCCCCAGCCTCAACTCAGCCACGGCGCTCCCTGCGCCCTCGCATGGTCGCTCATCTTCTCTCCCGCTCTCATGGGGACTCAGTTTTGTTCTCTCCCTCTCTCTCTTTCCCTCAGTACATGTTTTATTTTTACTTCTTCTAGCATTTTGTTCCTTGCCTATAACCCTTGTTCTATTCCTGGAGTCAGTAATATTAATAATCCAACTCTCATTTAAACCAGCCTCCTGGTGTATCAGCACTACCTCACAGATAAGCCAGAACTCCAGAGGACTGTTTAAAACCCCTCCTTGTCCCACATTCCTGCCATACCATTCTTTCCTCTGCCCCACATTCACCAAGAACAGAAAATAAGGGGACATGACAAATAACCGGTATGGGACAGGGGATCCTTACTGCTTCCTGGGGTCACAGCTGGGAGAAAGCTATGTGGAGTCCATATTCAGGGCCTCTCAAGGAAATGACAGAAAACTACACACTGTGCATTCCCAGAGGTTGGCCTCTTTCTCAAAGGCAGGGCTGGATTTCCTTGTGTGCTTCCCCAACAAGGGCCACTATCAGGAGGAAGAAAGAACGTACCAGGCCAATCCCTAGCTATTTTCAGTTGCCTACCTTAAAAAAAAAATCCTCACCTGGATAAATATAAAGCATGATAACCTGTGTCATCACACACCATCGGGACCAAATCTGGATCTTATTAAGTATCATAAATAAACGATGGTTTGGGGGGAAGAAACTAAGGTATAACTCGTGTCCTATTATGAGCACAAATTCCTACAAAAAGAAGCAAGGCCAGTCTACCTGGACAGGGTGTGCAGGCGGCCCAGTTTCAGTCTGGCCTTGAAACCTGTGGTCCAGAGTCAGACTTGAATCCCAGCTCTAGCGCTGATTGGTGCGTGACTGAGCCGGCTGCCTGGGTTTTTACAGAGTTAATTTCCCAATATAATCGATTAAGCCTGGAAAACAAAAAAGAAAAGTCACTAAGGAAAGCTAATGAGCAGTTAGGACCCTGGAGCTCACTGTAAGTTGTGTTTGCTTTTTTTTAGGAGGCGTCCGTATTGCTGCTCTGCCTAAAACTAAATTGTCACTATTCTCGTCCTTCCATACTCCCACCATACTGCCAATAACTGGACCCACTTTCAGCAATGGGTTTTTCCCAATATCCTTTAAGTCTCGGAATAGTTCATCCTGCTAAGGCTCCCCTGTGCTGCACTGGGCCAGACAGAGAAGAGAAGAGGAAAGAAGACCAGTAGGAATTGCCAAGAGATGAACAACTGGACTCAGCGCTGAACGAAATGCTGGCTCCCCGGCACCTGGAGGGTGTGAGTTTCGAGTTGTGCATGGCACCAAGACTGAGAATATCGTTGCAAAAGGCCAGCGGATAGGGTTGGCAAAGCAAAGATGGGTTCAACAGCTGTCCTGAAGGCAGTGAGGGATAGGCTGTAAGGTGGTATAGACCTTAGTTTAAACTCCACCCCTTCGACTTATCAACAGGATAAACCATCTTCCTTCTCCGAAGCTAAGTGTTCACCATAAAAATGGAGATAAGAATACCTCTTTCACAACCCTGAGATAGAAATCAGAGTAAGGCCACTCCACAGAGGGTCCAGCACGGTGGAAACCTCAGTGATGTCAGGTTCCTTCCTTTCTTTGCAGGGCTGAGAAGCCCCGATGAAGAGACGGCCAAAGGTCGGGTTGGCAGCTGGGGAGTAATTTTAACTCCCAGCTCTGGATTTGAGCCGGTGGGGCTGGCTCTCCCGCCAGACCCAAGGACTAACTCAGAAGTGCGACGTGAGCTGCAGAGGAAATGCAGGAAGGCGTGTAGTCTTGCCTGGGGGAGATGACAGGCCTTGGAATGTATTTTTACGTCTGCCTCCCTTACCCCTGTCCTCCCCGGCTCCTCGCGGAAGCTCACCCACCAGAACCTCTGGGAGTGGGAGGAGAGCGGGCCCTGGGCTGCTTTAAAGGGGACCTGTAAGGAGCATTTGGCATACATGAAGCCCAGAGGGAGAAGACTTTGTTTATCCGGCTACTAGGGAAAAATTAACAAAGGGGGAAAAAAGGCTGAGGATCAGAAAGAAAAACATTGCCTATAAAACAATGAGATTAGATTAGCCCATGAAGATCCAATTGTGCCAGACGAATTGAATTTCCTCTGAGGTTAGCATGACCAGCCTTCCAGATCCAGACACAGCTGGAGCACAGGGCTAGGTGATTGACGCCTGACACCATCCTTACCCTAAGAGTTTGTAGCAGGACTTCAGGTCTCTTGACCCCGTGCTGGGATGAGAGGTGCATCTGCACCTGGGCTTGCTGGGCAGCACACCCGGGGTAGATCACCTTGGGCTGAAACTCCTACTCTAAAAAAATGTTCCTAGCACCCTCTTGTTTTCCTTCTTCGCACCTAATACAACTTATTTTATATTTATTTCATTTAATTTGGGCCTTCCTCAGCTCTGTAAATGGCACAATCACCCATGAGTTCAAGAGAAACCTTGATTCCGTCTTGATTCTGTTCTTTCTCTCACCCCCATATCCAATCCATCAACGCATCTTGTCTGCTCTTCCTACGACATATATTCAGGGGATGTCCTCTTCACCCCATCTCCATTGTGGCCGTCTTTGTCCAAACCACCATAACTGTTGCTTCAGCTACAGAAGTCACCTGCTTATTGACTCTGCTGTCTCTCCCGCCTCCCTATGCTATGTTGCCCATCACCAGAGGGAAGTATTCTCCTGTAAATCAGATCATGCTGCTGCCTTGCTTAAGCCTCTCTTGGCCTCCCCTCACCCTATGACCTCAAGGCCCTATATAACCTGGGCTCGGCTACACTCCCCAGCCCCACTTCATTCCTGTGTTTCCACCAGCTCGGGTGCTCAGAGGTCCATGCTGTTCCTAGCCTGGTCTTTTGCACTTGCTGTGCCCTCCTTCAGGACAACTCCACTCTGGGTCTTCCTATGGTCACTTCCTTCATGTCACTCAGGACTCAGCTTCATCATCACCAGCACCAAGCGCCTCTCAGCGTTCAATCTAAGGTAGCGCTCACTCAGTCAACTCTGCCTCTCCATTCTGTTTTAGCCTCTTCCCATCTCCTTTCATTCTAGGATGTCCTCTTGTTTGTTTACCTAATTATTATGTGTTCATGTTCTGTCTGTCTCCCCTCTACCAGAACGCACACTCCGGGAAGCAGCCCGTCTTGTTTTCCTCGGAATCCTCAGCAGCTAGATCTGCAGTAGAGACTCCACAAACATGTATTGAATGAGTGAAAGTCCGTGTCTTCCCCTGGCTGGAAGTGCCACAAGTGTCCTCAGACTTGGTCTGATCCATTCATCACTTTATATCCAACATCACCCATTGGGCCTCAACACTCTCTCTAAATAGAAATGGAGGGGAGGGAGACAGAGAAACACAGAGAAGCTATTTTCCTCCAAATGGCAGCTGAATACATTTTTTACTTGCTCACCCAACTAACGACCAAATAAACAGCCAGTGATGGTATGAAAACTACCCGTGGAGAATTCATAAATGCCCACACTGATGGATGACGGAGACAGTGCCTGTTCATAAGCATTATATGCCTCTGCAGACATTTTTCCCCTCCTCATTTTTTAAATTGAAGTATAGGTGACATACAGTATTAGATTAGTTTCAAGTGTACATTGTAATGATTAGATATTTATATACATTGTGAAATAATTACCACAATGTCTAGTAACCATCTGTCACCATACAAAGTTATTATAATAGTATCAACTATATCCCTTATGCTGTACAGTACATCCCTGTGACTTATTTATTTTATAATTGGAAGTTTGTGCCTATTAATCCCCTTCACTTATTTCACTCATGCCCCACCTCCACCTTTGGCGACCACCAGTTTGTTCTTTGTATCTATGAGTTTGCTTCTGTTTTGCTTTTTAGATTCCACATAGAAGTGAAATCATTCGGTATTTGTCTTTCTTTGCCTGACTTATTTCACTTAGCATAATACCCTCTAGGTCCATGCATATTGTCCCAAATGGCAAGATGACGTCATTTTTTGTGGTTGAGTTATATTCCATTATATATATATATATACCACATCTTATTTATCCATTCATCTATTGATGGACACTTAGTTTGCTTCTATATCTTGGCTGCTGTAAATAATGCTTCGAAGAACATAAGGGTGCATGTGTCTTTTCAAATTAGTGTTTTCATTTTCTTTGGATAAATACACAGAAGTGGAATTGCTCAATCACACAGTAGTCCTTTTTTTAATTTTTCTGAGGAAGATCTATACTGTTTTCCATAGTGGCTCCATCAATTTACATTCCCACCAGTAGTATACAAGGGATCCCTTTTATCCACATCCTCACCAACACTTGTTAGTTTTTTCTTTTTGATAATAGCCATTCTGAGGTATGAGGTGATATCTCACTGTGATTTTGATTTGCATTTCCCTGGTGATTAACTTAAGCTTAGATTTCCTACAATGTGTAGTGGCACATACATCTCATGTATTTCAAACTCAATACTGTGCTTAGAATTGTACATGAGAAACACATGTGTTTCTGAACATTTGTTTGCATGATCAAAAAACTAACCATTTTTAGTGTTTATTTACTTGGTCAAGGATTTGAAAGTTCTTAAAAGTGCAAAAATAGCTGAATCACAGGCAAGAGCTCAGAGAAACTAAAGAAAATGTGGATGAAATAGAGCGAGCAGGTGCAGTGTGGGACTCAGGGAGGCCCTGCAATGAGCTGCAGGTGGGGGAACTGGAAATGAGGGGACAGGTAAGTGTGCACTCCTGACCACGCAGAAGTCCCCAGAGAAACCCTCTGCTCCTAGAGGAGCTGTGCACCACAACGGCAAGCCCTGACAATTGAGATATGGCAGGAGAGATAGGGGAATTAAGGCAACCACATGCCACCAGATTCTACTGACGAGTCACCATTGTTAGAATGGCATTTGACTCTGGCTACAGTCAGTGTTTGCTGAATGAGTCAATTGATGGGTGAAGGAAAAATGGGAAGGGGGTATATCTTTCAGTGTTATTTGAAGATGAAAGGAGACGAGATGTATGAGAGTAACTGGCAATTAATGAATGTTCCATAAAGTTTTCTTGAATCTAGTTCTGTCTGAGGGTAGTTTTTCCTCAAACCCGTGGATCAACAATAACTAACGTGTATGGATCTTGCTCTGTTCCAGGCCCCCTCCATGTGTAAACTCAATTGTTACAACTACCATGTGACATGGACAACATCATTATTACTCCCAGTATATAGAGGAGAAAACCAAAGATCAGAGAAGCCAAGTTATTGATCCAAGTTCACAGAGCCAGAAAGTTAGAATTCAGCCTGCTATGGTTTCAACTGGTATGATATGTGTCCACCTTGGTTTTAATCACTGGAAGAAACTCATTAAAGCACATCCCTTCCGATATGACTTCTTTGGCTCAGACGGAAGGCTGGCGGTGTATTCTCTGCAAGACCCTCATACCAGCTGGGCAGATCGCCTCTCACAAGTGAGGGGGGCACACTGCGAGGTTTGACTTGACTTTACAGGATTGAGGTTGAAGGATCGAAATTACGGCAGGGGAAAAGGAATGGACACTTGTTGAGTGTCTGCTGTGTGCCAGAAACTGTGGTAGGGGCCTTGCAGAAAGGCCTTCCTTTAATCCTCACAGTGACCGTAAAAGTTGTGTCATTATCTCTGTTTTACAAGAGAAGCAGCTGAGGCTTAGAGAGGTTAAGTAGCTCCTGTGAGGCAGAGCTGAGATGGGAGCCCAAATCATACTGGATCCTTCTGCCACAGTCCCTGAAGATTTGGCCCATAAGATGGGTGATTTCTGAGCTCAGGTCGGGGAGGAAAGGCAGGCCAGCCTGGGGAAAGGGCAGGCCTTCCAATTCGGTTCTCTTCTTTCTCTCCTTCCTTGCCCGCTCTTTCTTTGCTTGTTCCTTCCTGTTGTCCTTC